TGAGGCATATTTGAATAAAAATATTATAAAAACGTTTCAGTGGGAAAAGAATTTTTTTCTAGGGAGCACAAGGGTTTATTGTACGCGTTTTAATTTAAATTTGTAAATTGTACAAGTTATAGTACAAGATCAACATCACGCGAAAAATTTCCAAAAACTTTTGATCCCTACTGTATAATCTATTGGTCCAACTTGGGTAATGGGGTATCAGCAAATATCAGAATCTGATTATTCTTTAAAAAAATAATTTTGGTATTGGCATACTGATAAGTTAATAATATTCTTAGTATTTTTATCATATAGTCTAAAAGCCTACTAGTAAATATTGAAAATGCTGATATTTATCAGATATTCTTTTAAAATTAATCCTTTTTTTAGGCTTAGTTTAATAAACCAATAACTCTTTTTTATATTGTAATTAAATTATTTCTAAATCTTTTTGTGCTAAAATAATATCATAATCTTGAGTAGCAGTTAGGTTTCTATTCAAATAAAGTTTACTGAATAAAACAAATAATTTGAGTAAAAAATAATTCAAATAATAGTAATTTGAATAAAATAAAACAAATAAAACAAATTAATTCAAATAAAACGAATAAAGCGAATAAAGCGAATAAAGCGAATCAAAAAAAAACAACTCAAATAGAAGAGAATAACTCAAATAAAAGAGAATAACTCAAATAATTAATAATTTGAATAATTCGAATTTGTATTATGAATAGAAACCATCCATTAATTTAATGTTGTTCCCTTGGTGTTAATGATTGAATCAATTACACAATTTAAACAGCATTGTTTTTAAAGAATTTATTTCAAAATAATATTATTAAATTTATAAAATTTAATTTTGATACATCAATCTCAGTCCAAAATCAATCATATTTATATACTTCAAAGTTTCTTTATTTCTTTTTTTGATAAATAATAAATTTATCCTTTGTTTATTTTAGTAGATTCAAATAGATTTTATTAGATCAAATGGTACACTATAGCAAAATTTCAAAGAACCAAATGTATCAATTACACAAAAATACACATAATAAAGAACACAAAAAAATATTAGCTTGTAGCTTATAGATCCTGTAGAATATTTCATGTTTCCTGATTTTTTATTATGTCATTATTATTATTGATTGAAATTCGATTATTTTTCGAAAAAGAAACTTTGCACGAATAATTTATAGGGTCTAGTACTAGGCCACAAACCACACAGTCAACCCCGTTATTCCATTCAAAATTAGTTTCTGGATCCAACTTTGGTTTAACAGGGTTTTCGGATTAACTATGTAGTTGTTCTAAAATAAAAAATCTGTTTACTGAAACAATAAAATAAATTTATTTGTTTATCTGTTATAGTATGATCATCATTAACAATATTCTTATAGTACTGTAATACCAAAAAAAAAAATAATAATTCTATCCAATTAAATTCAATTAAAACTTTGAATATATTTGTAAAACTAAAGCTAATATACATATATATAAGAATGGTTGATTTTTTTTATGCAAGATATTTCCTTATTTGTATTTCTTTGGTCAAGATTGACAAGCATTTCATGATAAACTGGGCAGATTTTTCATCCATTTTTAATGCTAAATTATTAAACAATCCTAGAAAATCATACAAAGTGAACATAAAATTATAAATTATATGTATAGGGATAAGTGTATATGAAAAGTAATAATAAATATAATGGTTCTAATGAATATCAAAAAGCAATTGATTTTTTAAAAAAAGGTTGTAAATGTGGTTGTTCTTCAAGAATTCCCAAGGAACAATTTGCAGAATTAAGAGAATCCTTTCAAGCTCTTTCCAAGTCTGAACAAGACATATTTTTAATGGCCCAGCTTAAGGCAATGGATGGTGGGACAGTAAGTGCCAGTAGACGCCTTAAAAAGAAAAATAGATCTAACAAAAGAACTTTCTATCACTGGGATCACAATACACTTCTTTGTCAAGAAACTTATCTCAATATGCTAGGGATTGGTAGAACTTATTTTGAAAATATTAGAAATCATCTGATAAACAATGGTCTTCTGCCAAGAATTCATGGTAATATTAAAAGGATGCCTTGATGAAAAACTAAGATGGTGATTGATAAAAACATTGCAGAAGTAGTAAAGAATTTTTTGGAAAATTATGCTGAAGTTCATGGATTACCAAGTCCAGGAAGAAATATCAATAGAATAACTCAATCAATTGTATTCTTACCAGCTGAAATGAGTTATAAATCAGTCCATAGGGATTTTCTGGTTGGTCTAGAAGAAGATAGCAAATTGAAATTCTTAAAATATGATGCATTCAGAAAGTTATGACATCAATTGACACCAGAGATTCAAATTATGAGTCCAAGGACTGATTTGTGTGATACTTGTCAACATTTTAGAGATGGTTTACATTATAATGCTCGCCAAGAAGAAGAAGCCAAAGAATTACTTAAAAGATTTAAAGAACATCTGTCTAAGGCCAAACTAGAAAGAAATTATTATAATAAAAATACCAAATTAGCAGAAGAGCATAGTCCTCGTCATAGTCCTTATTAGTTTTCTCTGACTTATCAGACGGAAGTAATTTTTGAAAGTAAAAATGATTTACACTGCCTGGAAGAAAGTATCCGAACCTTGATTTTTATTAATTCCGCAAACTTTTACATAATAATAAAAATTTTGAAAATATCATCATGTAGCTTAGGTTCTAACGAACGTGTATGCAATCTTTCACAATTCTGCTATTTATAATAATTTTTTAACAAAAAAAAACGAACTTCAATTAATATAAAAAATATAAAAAATGATCATCAAAAATTTCTAAAAACCAAAATTTATTAAAACATCACAAATTCATGCAAATTTTTGCGAATTGTTTTAACTGACACTTCAACACCACTGACACCAACAAATTTTCTTTAAATCTCTTCTGTAGAACTGCGATTATTTTTTAATGCAATTTCTCTTAGAGTTTTTTGTTCACTAACATTTAATGCACAGGGACGTCCACTTCTTGGTGCACTTCTTAGGCTTTCAGCATTTTCATAACGTTTAATGGTATTGCGAGCGTGCAATCCGAGTTTCCTATTTAATAGGTTATTTATAGCTCAACACACAGCCTACTCGCTGACTTACGGTTGATTTGTGAAGTGATTCATATGTTTCAACTGTTTGACCATTGAGTAAACCAAAGTATTTAATGGAAGAAGATGTGTGATGTACACATGAATGTAGCTTAGGCAATGACAAGCCAGATGGAGAAAAGGATTAAAAAGCTTGACAAAAATTTCTGCCTAACTTTTTGTCATAATAAATTAACTATGCAACTAATTCATTTTCAGAAAATTGGTGTTGATTTCTTGATTTTTTTTACGCGTCACACATATCACAAGATCAGCTATTTTACCCAAAAAAAAAATTTTTAAATTTAAAAAAACCAATGATAATGGTGCATCAAATGTTGTGTCGCGTTCTAAGAGAACTTTAAAGAGGGTTCAAGAAAACCAAAATAGTCAGGGTATAAATTACATTCAAAATTCTATATACATGTCAGAATTTATTATAGTAAACTATTTTACCCAATTTTATTGTAAAAAAAAAGAACATTCCATGTTGCAGACTATTGAAAGAGAGGAAAAACAGTGATTAAATAATTTTAAGTCTACTAAATAAAATTATAAAATATCAATTTTAATAAATAGAAATTTACCAAAACAGTTACAAAAAGACAAAAAAAATAAAGTCACAACATCTACCGTTACTTGAAAATAATGAGAGTAATACTTCATCAACACTAGCTTCCAGCCAATCAACAGCATATGGACTAACTTCTTCACATTTATCAATTATTTCTTCATGATCATCAACACAAATTAGTAACAGAACTAGTCCAACCAATAATCAAGCTAATTCCACATCAATTGCTATTAACTTCTACAATAAGTAATCAAACTAATTTACCACCAATACATCCCTTGACTGCTGATGTCAATTATGATTATTGGAATCAAACAGTAGTTATAGCAATGGTATATATATCCTTCCCAATGCATGAAAGATTTAACAATAATAGATTACTGTATAATTTTACTTATTTTTTAATAGGCAGTATTGATAAAAATACATTAAAACAAATCTTAAGAAAAAATACTGAATTACTGGTTGAGACTAATAAAATTGTAAAAAAATTAGATTCAAAATTATACTAAATTATTAAATGAATTAAAGGAATTAAAAAGAAAGACTCACAAGTTTTTAAAGAAAATGACAATCAGTGGTATAAGGTAAACTCATTTATATATTTATTTTTCATAATTGGCATTGATTTATAAAGATTTAAAACATTTGAATAAATATAGGAAGTTTGGAAATCTGTTACTGGAAAATGGATATATTTATCCAAATGAAACTGGCTTTAATGATTATTTCATTAGTATTATAAATGAGCAATATGACTCAAAAAAAAAAGAGATCAACAACACCCAGCAATTCAAAAAGTTATGAGAAATATTTTGCTAAAATATATAATTACTATGATCAATATATTTATGCCTTAATATGTTTAATATATTATTATGTATTTTTTTTTATAAATTAATATGTGTTTATAGGGACAAACTGCAATGAGAACAGCTCATAGATCTCATGTACAATGAACAAAAAGTGCTATGTTTACTGTATTTGGAAATGATAAATTAGATTATATAAACTCACAATCTTCAATAAAAGAATTAAAAGAATGGAAAACTTTCTCAAAAACTGAGTGGTGTAGAAAAAACTTGTTTAAAACGATAGAAAATAATAACAATAATACATATATTGCTGAAATTACATTGAAAATATGGCCAGCTGGTATTCCATCTCAGAGCTTGTTCTATTTTGCAATGATAGTTGTAAGTTTACTTCTAGATCCTAAACATGGAACAGATATGAAAGACAAGCATGTTGTTATGAGGGTGCAAAAGTTCAAAGTATGTTTATTATTTTTTATATAAGTTTGTATCTTATAAATTAATTAAAAATGGTATATTTTATTTTATTTTATAAAGGGAGTAGATGATAGCGATGGATGATATTATTATTGACTATGACAAATATGAGAGATTAGACATCAGCAAATCAAGTGAATCAAGTGATTCCAATGATGCCAGTGATGCTGAGAAATATAGCAATCAAAGTGAAAATGAAATAATTATTCTTCATACACATATTAAATGTATTATTAGTGTAAATGTTAAATATTGCTAAATTTCCAAATTAGCTAAAAAATTAGAATATCACAATGTTTAAGAATAAAAATTTTATGAATTCTGTATAGGGTCTATTGAATAACACTATTTTCATTATGTGCTATATAATGCTATGAATTATGCATTTTTAATTTCAAGGTAGCCTGGAAATTATTTATTAATACCGTATTCTCTGGAATATAAGCACCAGCATGAATTTGCAATGAAAAAACAAAAAAAAAATAGAAAAATAAATATAAGCACCACAATTATTTTTTATTTGATTTTATTTGTATATAATAAATAAAAATAAGAAATTTTTTTATTTTGACTATTCTTTTCCAGAATCACCGGACTCCTCTTCTAATTCATCTAATTCATCAGCTGAATCATTAATATTTCATGTTCATCTTCCTCATTTTCATCCCCATATTAAAATGTCTTGAATATAAGCACCACCCACAGTTTTGTTGACCAAAACGTGTCAAAATGGTGGTGCTTATATTCCAGAGAATACGGTAATAATAATATTAATAACAATTACACAAAGCAAAATGCCAATCATTCATTTGTTGTCATCGTGATAAGGATCTTATTATAATTACCCAGCAAGATCTGCTTCACATTTTGACCCAATTATAATATTTGCATCTTATTGGTATGCCAATACCTTAATTATTTTTTAAAAAATATTGGTCAGATATCAGATTCTGATATTTACTGATACCTCATTACTCAAATTTGGCATCATTCAACCAGTAAAAAGAGAACAAATAGGTTATATATAAGCCAAGAAAGATGGGACCCTAAATTAGTACAAATGAATTTTAAATCATGCACAAACATAATAGCCTAATAGCTTGATTGACATAGTGGTGCAGTCTTGCTATTTTTTTGTTGTATAATTAATTGTATATCTTTAATAAAACAAACATGACTTAACCATTTAATCATTTCCTTGTATGTGAATGCCTCCATCCATCAGATATTCATATATTGGTGTTATAATTGACATAACAAACAATTGCATCACCTAAGTAGTGACAATACCAAGGCCATGCAGAAATGAAACTCTTAACAATGTGTGTCTACCCAGATCTTTGGAATTCAAAAGAATAAATAAATAGGGAGGATCAAAAAAATATTATAGTTCCCATTGTGTAGTTCCTTATGAATAATAAATCTGATATTAACCACAGGTGTCAGATTTAATTAAAATTTCCTCTCACAAACATGCAGGACACTCTACCAGCACTATGGAATTTTTTCCCCACAGGTGAAGTTGACCTTGAACACCTTGGAAGGCTTTGGACAAAACTTCCCTTATCCTCCTCTCAGACCAGGCTTGGCTGTTGCCATATGAGCATTGATTGCTGATGAGAGTTGGCATTTGTGTGATGCTTTCTTTGTGTTATCCAATCTATAGAACAAAGTTGGTGTCTGCTACTGATTCAAAATTCTCCAATTCGGGGGGTTGCAACCTGGGAAGTTCTGTTTTGGATTTTCCCTGAATTCAGAGTTTTGAGTCCTGGGTTGCTATCTTATTGAAGGCATGTCTACTCACCAACAGCCCTGCCCCATTTAAATAACAACAGAGAATTTGGAAAAATGATCAATTTATATACAACATACCAAACAAAATCTGAACCATTTATTTTACAGCTTTCTCCTTGATCATGGTGACTATTTTATTGACCTAGGGTGAGTTATATGGGCAAAAGCCCTCATTTAAAAAATAACAAGTTCAGTTAGTCAAATAAAAATTTAAAAAAAAAACAAAATTTGTGAATATTACTCACCTTTGTTCATTACCAATCAAGAAATAATTGTTAAAATAAAATAATTAAAATAAATAAATATTTTTACAAAGCGTTATTAAAACCAAGATTCTATTATTGCTATAAAGATGGACAAAACTAAAGCATGTTTCATATTATATATATATATATTGATTTGTTTATCTTGAACCTATTATTTAACTATTACTATCTTTAATTATTTTTCAGTATTCTTTACCTACAAGTCAATTTTTTAGCCAATAAGGCCAAAAGAAAAGCTACTATCAATTCTAATATTATGGTCACTGATGTCACTGACCGATATTGCTTAGATTATGTAATAACCGTGAAAAATGAGTCAGGTTACACGATCAAAATCATAGTAACGATAAATTAATTTATTCAAAAATGGAACTATAGATTACATGAATATTAATATGATACATTTATTATTATGGAAAAAACACGGAAATGTATATTTTAATTTATTAATATAAACGGGGAAAAAACTGCGTTTAATAACAGAAAAAACACCGAGACTAAATTTTTTACAGGGAACAAAATTGAACTTGCAAGTTCAAACTTCTAGCAACTAGTTTTATTTATTTTTATTTGACCTAAAAAATCATTACAAAAATAAGTCATTTTTGACCAAGTGAAAAAAAATCAGGTAATTAATTAATATTTCCTTGCTAATAAATATCTATTTATTATCGTTAATTTAATTCACTTGTAAAAATAATTTCACGTTATAATAATAAATAAATAAATTCGCTCGTGTAGTTGGAAATTAAACAAAAGGTTTAATTATCCATTTGGTTATCAGAGTGATATAGTACCCTGAGGTTTGGTTATTTGCTTTGGTATAAAGCAAAGGTTTTGACGTTGGTTAATCAGTGTAGTGTTAACAACGGGTTGTATAGAAAATTTTCAGCTTCATTGATTTCAAAGATTTCCAACAATTAATTCGTAATTAATTTCGTCTTCCATAATTAATTTCGTCTCCCGTAATTAGTTTTATCGCCCGTAATATAACAATTTATTAACGTGGATTTTGCACTTGGAGCGATGTTGCACTTGAAGAGCGGATTCATGATTAAATTGCTAAATAGTAGTATTAATTTAATTGTATATGATAAACATTTACCCTCATTCAAATTATTATTTTTCTTTTTTTATTAGTTTCACTTCGATTGTTTGACATTTTTTAAAAAGATAACTAGAGTGACGACGAGTGGCGATAGCCACCACCATCCTTTCGATAAACACTTACTCGCGTCTTTCTCTAGGCTCTTTTCTTTTATTATTTTCTTTAAAATCTTTTTTAAAAAAAAATTAAAAGATAATATTGATTTTGATCGACAAACGCGTCATTAATTATTTATTGGCACTTGGTGTTGTACAGAAATGTTGACACGATTGATTTTTTTTTTCTTTCATGGAAAAACAATTTATTTTTTGATAGAGTCCAAGATGACAAAACGTGAGTCTCTTAAAGAAGACATGTTAATGACAGGGGTACTATTTTTTATTTGTATTGATATATATATTTAGTTTATAAATATTTTAATTGGAATCAAAACGCGGAACAGATCTTGCTGGGTAATTATAAGATCCTTATCAACAACAAACGTTTGGCATTTTGCTTTCGTAATCATTAATATTAATAATATTATTATATTATTATAATCACAAGATTTCAAGGCAGCATACTGTTGAAAAAGAGACATTTTGAGTATGTGACGTTTGGTTACAGGAAAATAGCGTTGAAGCACACACGCTACCTTGAACACATCACAGTCATTCTCTCATCTTTCTCGTGTATCACAAGGCTAATCTGACTACAAGACCCCCCATGATATGATGTTGTTAAATCTATAGGGAGGGATGTAAGGCCCTGGAGTTTATCAAGACTACATCAGTCAAGGACACTTCCACTAATCTTCACAGCACCCAGACTAGAGAAGGCTGCCATGAAAAGTTACCCTCAACGATCCTACCTCTAGAGTAAGGATGGCTCTGTGACCAAGTCGCAATTCAGAGCAGGGTTGATAACCCTGAAATCGCATTTGGGTTTTGATGTTAGAAAGAAAGCTGTAAAATAAAATGGTTCGGATTTTGTTTGGTATGTTATAAATTAATCATTCTCAAATTTTCTTTTTTTTTTAAATTTTTATTTGACTAACTGAACTTGTTATTTTTTAAATGAGGGCTTTTGCCCATATAACTCACCCTAGGTCAATAAAATAGTCACCATGATCAAGGAGAAAGCTGTAAAATAAATGGTTCAGATTTTGTTTGGTATGTTGTATATAAATTGATCATTTTTCCAAATTCTCTGTTGTTATTTAAATGGGGCAGGGCTGTTGGTGAGTAGACATGCCTTCAATAAGATAGCAACCCAGGACTCAAAACTCTGAATTCAGGGAAAATCCAAAACAGAACTTCCCAGGTTGCAACCCCCCGAATTGGAGAATTTTGAATCAGTAGCAGACACCAACTTTGTTCTATAGATTGGATAACACAAAGAAAGCATCACACAAATGCCAACTCTCATCAGCAATCAATGCTCATATGGCAACAGCCAAGCCTGGTCTGAGAGGAGGATAAGGGAAGTTTTGTCCAAAGCCTTCCAAGGTGTTCAAGGTCAACTTCACCTGTGGGGAAAAAATTCCATAGTGCTGGTAGAGTGTCCTGCATGTTTGTGAGAGGAAATTTTAATTAAATCTGACACCTGTGGTTAATATCAGATTTATTATTCATAAGGAACTACACAATGGGAACTATAATATTTTTTTGATCCTCCCTATTTATTTATTCTTTTGAATTCCAAAGATCTGGGTAGACACTCATTGTTAAGAGTTTCATTTCTGCATGGCCTTGGTATTGTCACTACTTAGGTGATGCAATTGTTTGTTATGTCAATTATAACACCAATATATGAATATCTGATGGATGGAGGCATTCACATACAAGGAAATGATTAAATGGTTAAGTCATGTTTGTTTTATTAAAGATATACAATTAATTATACAACAAAAAAATAGCAAGACTGCACCACTATGTCAATCAAGCTATTAGGCTATTATGTTTGTGCATGATTTAAAATTCATTTGTACTAATTTAGGGTCCCATCTTTCTTGGCTTATATATAACCTATTTGTTCTCTTTTTACTGGTTGAATGATGCCAAATTTGAGTAATGAGGTATCAGTAAATATCAGAATCTGATATCTGACCAATATTTTTTAAAAAATAATTAAGGTATTGGCATACCAATAAGATGCAAATATTATAATTGGGTCAAAATGTGAAGCAGATCTTGCTGGGTAATTATAATAAGATCCTTATCACGATGACAACAAATGAATGATTGGCATTTTGCTTTGTGTAATTGTTATTAATATTATTATTACCGTATTCTCTGGAATATAAGCACCACCATTTTGACACGTTTTGGTCAACAAAACTGTGGGTGGTGCTTATATTCAAGACATTTTAATATGGGGATGAAAATGAGGAAGATGAACATGAAATATTAATGATTCAGCTGATGAATTAGATGAATTAGAAGAGGAGTCCGGTGATTCTGGAAAAGAATAGTCAAAATAAAAAAATTTCTTATTTTTATTTATTATATACAAATAAAATCAAATAAAAAATAATTGTGGTGCTTATATTTATTTTTCTATTTTTTTTTTGTTTTTTCATTGCAAATTCATGCTGGTGCTTATATTCCAGAGAATACGGTATTAATAAATAATTTCCAGGCTACCTTGAAATTAAAAATGCATAATTCATAGCATTATATAGCACATAATGAAAATAGTGTTATTCAATAGACCCTATACAGAATTCATAAAATTTTTATTCTTAAACATTGTGATATTCTAATTTTTTAGCTAATTTGGAAATTTAGCAATATTTAACATTTACACTAATAATACATTTAATATGTGTATGAAGAATAATTATTTCATTTTCACTTTGATTGCTATATTTCTCAGCATCACTGGCATCATTGGAATCACTTGATTCACTTGATTTGCTGATGTCTAATCTCTCATATTTGTCATAGTCAATAATAATATCATCCATCGCTATCATCTACTCCCTTTATAAAATAAAATAAAATATACCATTTTTAATTAATTTATAAGATACAAACTTATATAAAAAATAATAAACATATTTTGAACTTTTGCATCTTCATAACAAAATGCTTGTCTTTCATATCTGTTCCATATTTAGGATCTAAAAGTAAACATACAACTGTCATTGCAAAGTAGGATGAGCTCTGAGATGGAATACCAGCTGGCCATATTTTCGATATAATTTCAGCAATATATTTATTATCATTATTATTTTCCATTGTTTTAATTCTTTTATTGAAGATCGTGAGTTCATATATAGTAAAATTTTATAATTGAATGTCTTCACACCCTCGTTTGATACCCTTGCTGTGTACCAAATTTGAGATATAATTTCTTTATCATATGTATCTGCTTTAAGAAAATTTTTAAGGCAGGTTGTTAATAAAACAGAAAATAATCTGACCCTCAAAGTCAAATTTTGCCTTTATATTCATCTGTGTAAAATTTTGTTTGACGCGTCCAATTGCAAGTATAAGCAGAAATAAATGTCTAAATATTACATTATTATGATGAATATTTACAGATTTTTGATCATTTAAGTATATTGCTTATAGTAAAAACATTTATTTTAAAAGTAAATATAATAAATAAATAGAGTTAAAATTTTTCTTTACCTATATACATAAATAATGATTAGAATAGTGAACAAACAACAATGATGATTAAATTAAAGGTGACTTTATTCATTTAATTATTTATCATAGTGATGTTATTAAATATAAGTTAAAATAAAAGAGAAATTTATATACATAAATAAATAATAAACATAACTATTGAATGATTGATAAAACGTTTGTTAGTATATTTTGTTCATAAATCTCGTCCTTAATGCTTACTTTGATCACTCTATACAAACTATTGAATAATTGATAAAACGTTTGTTAGTATATTTTGTTCATAAATCTTGTCCTTAATGCTTACTTCGATCACTCCTATACAAACTATTGAATAATTGATAAAAACTGTTTGTATGTTTTGTTCATAGATCTTGTCCTTAATTGTTACATCAATTTTTTTTTAATCAATCAATTCATTCGTTAATAATAATAATATTTTTTAGACCTTTTGGTGTAAAAGATTTAATCTTTTGTATACAGTCACAACATCTTTATCCACCTTCGGGTAATCAAACCAAATGAAGGATATTCAACTGGTCCCAAGAAGGATCCCTGCTCATCGCCACATAGATCTGATCTGAGGCAAACATATTTTCATCAATTGTTAGAGCAATGTCACGCCTTGAGTTTTGTGAGTTGTCAAGGCAAATACGTTCTGCAATGGGAATTGGCACCTCGAGGCATGTGCACCGTTTATTTCAAAATTTATATATAGTGATTTTTTGAAGGTTTGCACCACTCACAGCCTTTATATATACAATAGATGTTAAGATAGATGCCATCGTTTAAAAATTGATTTATTGTTGTAGTGTTAAAAAGGTGTTTAAAATAAATATCAAAATTTATTTTAAAAAAAAAATGTTGTTGAATTGTCAGTTATTTTTATTGAAAACTTTTTTTATTATTACTAATAACAATAATAAACATTTTATCAATTATAATTGTCAATGAATTTATGAATATCAATGAACCCACACTTTAATACTTTAATAGTAACTTCTCGTTATCGTATAACGTTATCTGTACCAAAAAAAAATAATCAATTGTAAATTTTAGCCATAATTTAAAAGATATTGTTTATTGTTTAAAAAAAATTCTGTTTGATAATTATAAATATAATAATAATAATATTCAAATAACTTTTGACGTATTTTTTTATTTTTACCCAATAATAATAATAATAATAAAAAAGTAATAATTTTGGTTGCGCAAAAAATAATCGAACCTTTTTTTGAATAAAAAAAAATTTGGGAAAGCGGAAGTTCATTGCAATATCATTGCAAATAACAGACAAGACGATTGCGATTGCGATTGCAATTGCAAAGAACTCTCTTTAATAAACAGAATATTTGCCATATGACTCAAAATTCGCTCAATATGGTGAAAACGTTGATCGCACAAAAGAAATTAAGACGGAATTCTTTTTTTTATCTGTGTTAATTTATTTTAAAAAAAAGGTTTTACATATGAATATATATTATTTTAATAAAATGACATTTGACAAATACATTTTTTTTAAAATATAAGATAAGCAAGATAAATGGTATATTTTTTTTTAAATGTTTTCCTCGCATTCTCCTTTTTTAAATTTAAATTCATTGATGAAATCAGTTTCTTCCACAATTCTTTTCCAAAAATTCTTCATGCAAGATATAAAACTCAAAGTGAACTGGTCATTATCATGTGTGATTGTGGCTAATTGATGATAAACTTTTTCCAATTCTTCAAACCATGATCTGATTCTTTCTTCAATTTCAAATTTTTTTTCATTCTTTTCATTATCAAGTAGTTGAAGAAGGGGTTGGTTTTGCAAATGTAGTTGATTTTCCAATATATGTTCTTGAGTATTGATGTTGTTGTTATATGTAAAACTTGGTTCAAGATTAAAAATTTGAGGCAAAAAACCTTCAAAAAATGACCTCAAAGTTGTAATATTATTTGACTTTTTTAATAAATTTAAATGTGTCAATTCAAATGGAATATTATTTTGACAAAATTCATTGTAAATAAATATGATCAATTCAAATGCACGAGTTATTCTTTCTGGTATTCTTCTTTCTGGGTGAAGTTGCAGTTCTCTATCAATCCAAACTTTGGATATAATTATATCATTAAAACACAATCTTGTTATTAATGAATCTGGATTGAAATTTTTTAACACCCATTTGTAGAAGTTGCTGCTTAATCTTAATAATCTTATATTGTTAATTGGTGCTTCAATATTTGAATTTATAAATTTATAATTATCATCACATATTAATTTTTCAACATAATATTTTGTCCAATAATAATTATTTTTTCCCAAATTCTCAATATTATGTTGATAATAATTATTACCATAATTATGATACTTAGTTGATTTTTTGTTGATGTTATTTATAGTTTTACTAATATCATTGTTAATTGAATTGTCAGTGTTGTGAATAGAAGAGTTATTTTGTTTAAGTATTTGATAATCAATTAATTTTTTTCTGGTTTTATCATCAAAATAATAATAAATTAGGGCTTCAAGAAAGATATGTTCCAATTGATTTTCTTCAATTTGCATTTTTAGAAAATTTAGAACTTGATGGTTTTTCAAATTCCTGTTGATCTTAATAACTTCTACAGCACAACATTCAATAATTTCAAGTTTTGTCAGATTTCTAACAATCTGAAAAGCTTCTAAAAGTGTCCCTCCGATTTCATTAAGGTGTTGTTCATACAAAATTAAAATATCAGCCATAACAGATTTTGTCAGCTTGAATCCAACTTTGATTAATTGTTGAAGCTGTTCAACAAAATCATTTGTAGTTGGATAAACACAAACTTCATCATTTTTATGATTTGGATAGAATAGAATCAGCAAAGATCCTTGCAATACTAAATTATTGACATCTTTACATACATCATAGTAGCCAATTTGTTTCCAAAGTTCTACAATTTCAGGATAAATTAATATTGCCCTGGCGATTATGTTCAGTTGCTTGTTGTTTTCAAATCCATCCTTGGCTAGATATTCTTCATGGTTAAGTATTTGCCTTTTTATTTGATAATCAATTGAGTCTTCAAACGGGATTGTTGGTCTTGGAGGAAAAGGTACAAATTTTTTATTTAATATAAGATCTTTTATTTTTTCAAGATTTTCTTTTAATTTTGTTGGAGCCAAATCAATAGATAATGGTCCACCAGTCAAAAAATGAAAAGTTTCAATATCATTTCCTTTCAAAGGAAGATCTGGACCATACTGTTCTTTAGCTACTTTTAACAAGGCTATAAATATTGATACAGGAATATTTGAAGCCCAAGGATTTCTATAATATTTTTGAGAAGCCATAGAAATTTCTTGATCTGTGCCATTATTGTTATTAATGTTATTATTAATGTTGTTGTTGATGTCATTTTTGATTTTTAGTTCAATTAGACTATGATCAGATTTTCCAAATTGTAATAATAATCTTTGCACAAGATATCTAGATAAAATAACATTTTCTTTGATAAGAAGATTAACTAATTCTAATGATATAAAGTTATGGCCATAATGAATTGCATAAAAAAATGCATGTGCCTTCCCATGTTGATTAATGATCCATTTTGCTCTTGTTTTGTGGTCTTTTGATATCTTGTACCAATCTTTATTAGTTAAGATTAGTGATAGAGGACGTTTAGTATATATGAAAATTTGTTCTTTTACAATGTTTAGATTATTCATATTGTAAAGTGTTTGAATGTCATGAACATGATATTGGCTTAAGACATATTTATACCTTGATTAAAACTGCTTACTAATAGAACGTTTAGAGATTACTAATATTAAATTGCACAATACAGTCAGCACACCATTCACAATATAGAATACCAAAATAGAAATGTGCGTAATGTTTGGTGCATTGCATAAACAAAAATAAATGGGATAAATCGGGAAAGATTTATTATGAATCAGAAACGCGGAAATAGAATTCAACCTGATAAAGTGTTACTAAATCAACATAATGAACCAATAAAATAATTAACGGGAATTGTCAAGAAGGATTACTCTAACATTCTAAACATTTCTTTTAAAATTTTATTTAAAAGAAATAATTCAAAATCATTCGTTCGTTTTAAAAAGAACTTGGAATTATTCTTAAAGAAAGCTCTTGATTGAATTTTGATTAGAACAGATCAAGAGTTCTTGGGAAATCAGATGATTGAACTTTTAGAACATACAAATAACGTTGTGATTTCCTTAACTTCATGTAATTGTCATCTTATAATCATTTGACATAATAATAAATAAAAAACTGTCTTTGTCCTTGAATTATATATTTTTATAACGATAGTAAGTTTATCTTAACAGTAGTAATAC